TATTTGAATCGAAGCGAAAAATCGCCGCAAGTGAGCTTCCAACTTGGGTCATGTGCTCAAGGGTGAACGGCTTCTTGCAATGGTTTCATCAACGATAAGAGCGCTACGCAGAGTAGAGCATCGGATGGCATAGCGGATAGAGTGAAGGTTTCGCAATCGGACAGTGAGTGAACTGAATTCGTTATGTACGCCAATATAGGGAACGTTCAGCGCTATTCATTCATGAACCTTCTTGGGCTTGCTTATTGGGTTGTCCGGTGTCCGTAGCGCCAACGATACGTCATCGCTGTCGAAGCTGTGAGAGTTCCTCTCATACTTCCCGACCGAAATGTCGGCCACGCTCACAAACCAAAAAAAGCAAAAAAAAAAGGACTTTCGCTCAAACTTGCTCCTAGGGGTAATGACAAGGTCAGGCGCCGAAGAGCCGAGTCTGTGCATACTAATGGAGTGAGAGAGAGTGCCCCATAAAGTAAACTGTTTCAGTTTATTTGATCGTTGTTGGTTAGGACCAATTATCTAGACGAACATGGATCGAAAAATGAAAAATTGGTACGAAAAGACAAATCTTTGTCTCGTGGGATCCGAACCATCGACCTATTTTTTACGCTTTTTTTTTTTTATTCGTAGAAGCGCGCAGCGAAAATGAACCTCAGTTTTCTGGTCCTTGTGCCCCTACAATATGCACAAGACCATTTTGAAAAAGCTCACCACGCCCTGAACGACCTCCCTTGTAAGAGACACCTCCAATCTACAAGGAAGTCACCATTAATGACTGGGACTAGTGTCCACCTTTTGAATTCTACACTGTTTGATAGATAATTTCCTGCACTTAAGGGGCAGTGCGAATGGATTCTCCTAAATTCCACTGATTTCCTCATGTCCACCTTTTAGCAATTACGACAAGCAGCGACGAAAGAATGTGACTTCATTTCCGAGGGCGGTGTCAATTACGTCGAATAACTGGCTTTCTAAAGGAATGCTAAGGTACCAAAGAGCGGTAATCAGAGAGAAAGAGAGGTTTTTCTGCAATGAATTCAGTGCTTGACAGTGCTACCAATAAAACAAATACCAATGGGAACAAGACATCTCTCGCCATGCACATCTGCTTTTGGTTAAGCAAGCTATCTTTCTATTAAGTTGGCCCATAAGTAATGGCGTTTTTTTGCCAACCACCAAATTTTTATATGGAAAATGACAATTGTTCCAATATCTGAGTTGATGTGCAAAGTCGAGCACACGGACGGGCATTCGAACAGTCGCACCTTCTGCTTACCGGGCAGTTGCGTTCCCTATTACGTTGCCGAGGCCACTTTTGACCACTCAGCTCAATGGCTATTTGTGTCTCCGATAGATAGACTTTCTCGATAGTCGACTCCCTGCGGCGTTTAAACAGCAGTTATGCTGACATGGCTGACTGTGGTTGTGGTTTATACTCGGCGAAAAAGTTGTCGAGCGGGGGTATATGTAGTAGGCATGCGACGTACATCGTACGGGCGTACATAGTACCTATAACACAGAAAATTCATAAAACTCATGAAGTGAACCACGTAACTCCTAGCCAGAAATACGACCCCCTCCCAACAACGACCAAATACGACCCCCCTCCCAACAGCGACCAAATACGACCCCCCCAACAACGACGATACGACCACCCCCCCCCACCAAAACCGTCCGCCAAAGCGGAGAAAAATACTATAAAATATTTTTTTCGCCACCCAAATAACGACCCCGCTTTTTGCGCCAAATACGACCCCCCACCCCCTCCCCCCCACCATAGGGGATCCCCATCGAACGCTGTTCCCTGGAGAGGAAGGTAGACGTCTGTGACAAGTGGTTTCCTTAACTTAGACGTGGTCAAACAACTAAATACCGGTTCAAACTCTTTAAGAGACACTATCGATTCCCATTCCACAGGGGGCGTTGGAACAACCCTATTAGAGAGGGTAAGAATGTAAATTGTGAACAAATCCGCCCCTTTTGGACTTTTTTTATAGGCTAGGAAACCACGTCTAAATTTCGATTAAGTTGACAATGAAGAGAAAAAAAAGAAGAACCGTCATATACACTAGAAACAAGACCCAGTTATTTTTGACACGATAGAGAGTGCATCGCTAAACAGCGATCGCGAATTGAAATAAAAGAGGAAGAGAACGAAATGAGCGCTGGCGGCGCACCCGTTGCGGCAGGGCCGTGGCTTTCCTATTTACCATGGATATTATGGCGAAATAACTCATGGATCGCAACTCAAGACCATCCTCCGTCACGTCGACGAATATTGCCCTGATAGCGAGTGCCAGACCGGGCTATAAAATATGGCAACTTTTCTTTTCATTTCGCGAAAGAAACGCCATTATATATGGGCCGACGCAATACTTACTTCAGAGATTCTGTGAAGGATGTGTGCATAGTCTGCACAGGGACTCAAACACTCGCACCAACCTTACTTTCTACCTGTATCACCTGTGCTCCCGTTGATCATCGAGTTTCCTCGAGCGGGCGCAGTAACGTCTCCATTCGTCCCTGCAACGTGCAAGAGTTGCCCAATGAACTCTCAAGATCGAGGACACGAATGAACTTCATACCGTTCGTTCAGAGCTTTCACGAAGAAGTCTGACCATCGCATAGGCGGTCGTCCAGGCGTTCGCTTGACATCCCGTGGAATCCAGTCGGTGACTGCTCTGGTCCAGCGGTCGTCCTCGAAACGCATGACGTGTCCGGCCCACCTGATCTTCGAAACCTTGGCAAATGCGGCGGCGTCTCTGATCTTCGATCGTTGGCGGAGTGCGGAGCTCCGGATTCCCTCTCTCACTTGCGTGTAGCGGGAAACTCCGAGCATCGCCCTTTCGATAGCGCGTTGAATAACGCCAACGCGACGCATGCTCATCCTGCTTTCGTAGAGTCCAAGTCTCTGAGGCGTACGTCAAGGCAGGAAGGACCGCGGAATCGAAGAGGTGGGCACGGAGCTTGGTGTTCTTCGTCTTCTTCGCTACTCCCTCGATGTTCTTGAAGGCTCCCCAAGCCGCTCGCTTCCTCCTGCTCAGCTCTGGAGCTAGGTCATTCATCATATTGATTTCACGACCTAGGTACACATAGCTAGAGCATTCAGAGATGGTCGTTCCGTTGAGCGTGAATGGGGCATCAGATACCAATCCGTTTCTCATGAACATCGTCTTCGTTAGGTTCAGCCGTAGACCGATTCTTCCACACGCGCAGTCGAATTCAGCCAGCATTCGTTCGCTTTGCTCGATGTTTGCGTTATCAAAACGATGTCGTCAGCAAAGCGGAGATGGTGTAGTTGCCGACCGTCGATCTTTCACTCCCATGTCTTCCCATTCCAGTTGACGCATGACGTTCTCGAGAGAGGCGCTGAAGAGCTTGGGCGAGATGGTGTCGCCCTGTCGACGCCTCTTCATCAATGATGATCTCCTTGTAGAATGGTGAAATCTTGGTCGTGAAGTTGCTGTAGAGCTCACGAAGAATCCTGATGTACTGAGTAGGAATACCCTGGTTGCCCAGGGCTTCGATAACCGCTTCTGTCTCAACGGAGTCGAAGGCCTTCTTCAAGTCGATGAACGTGAGACATAGCGGCATCTTGTACTCTCGCGATACTTCGATGAGCTTCGTTACCGTGTGGATGTGATCGAATAACCCAACCTTACTTTAGTGTCTCGCAAACTTCCCGCCTCGCACTGTTTACAAAGAGAAGAAAATGGCAAACTTCATTAAGGCAAGTCAGCAACTCATAACGATCCTTCATAACAGATTTCAGCTATAACCGAGCAATTGCGGAGAAGCATTGCGGTAGGTGGCGAACCTAGAGGTGTTGCCTCGATGCTTAGGCTGCGTTTATACTTTGCGGCAGCGTAGCGTAGCGCTTCCAGCGTACGCCAGCGGCAGTGCCGGGGAGAGGATGCATATCGATCTAGCGTTCCCAGCGTCACCAGCGTCACGCTAGCGTACGCTAGCGGCACGCTAGCGTACGCCAGCGTTTCTCCAGCGTTTCACCAGCGTTTTGCTAGCGTTTGCAGCGGCAGGGAGTAGAGACTATGGAGAGCTGGAGGGTACAAAACCATCGATTGCGCGGTCTCATCACTCTCGCACCTTCGTTCCTCTACATAACCATCGCTTCTGCGTCTCTGACGGCCACATAGTCTCTACTATACACATCGATTCCGCGTCTCTGCCGGCCACATAGTCTCTACAATACACGTCGATTCCGCGTCTCTGCCGGCCACATAGTCTCTACAACACACGTCGATTCCGCGTCTCTCGGCCACATAGTCTCTACTCCCTGCCGCTGCAAGCGCTAGCAAAACGCTGGTGCCGCTGGAGAAACGCTCGAGAAACGCTGGTGAAGCTAGATCGATAGCTATGCTTCCCGTGCCCTCGCTACGCCAGCGTGCGCTAGCGGCACGCTAGCTGTGCGTGCCGCTAGCGTACGCTGGTGAAGCTAGATGCGATATTTCCCTTTCCCCGGCGATCTCCGCTGCGTACGCTGGAAGCGCTACCTGCGGCGCAAAGTCCTATAACGCTGACTTACTGGTAGTTGCGTTCAGCTGCGTCTGCAGAAGGATGAGTAAACGGCCGTCATTCGCTGGTGCCGACCTTTACGTTGCGTACCTTCAAATTAAATAATTCCAGGTTCCAAGCGCTGGAACAAACGGGACATTCTGCTTTGGCAAGCGACATCCTTCCTGAATACAACGCAGGTGTCAGCTTCCTCGACTACGGCGGAGTGGCCCTAGAGGAACTCATAATATGGGATAGGTCGAAAAGTACCTTGACCTTTGAGGGACTTTTAGGCTTTGAAAGCTTCCACAAAGTTATAGTATACCCGTCTACGAAAACCTCAGAGAACAATCTTTACTATTCAGGAGTGAAAAAATTAAAATGTTTCTAGAAGAATTTATTCAAGTGTCCCATGACTTTCTTTCCAACCTAATAGTAGTATGCGCTTATGGGGGAGAGATACGCAGTCAATACCTTCATTTGGGCCCTAGATGACGCAGCGGTACGCGTTGCACGTGTCTACGGACGTCATTGACAATGATACAGTCTACATTTTTTCTTTATAATTGTATTATTTCCTACGTCAACCTAATTTTTTTCGATTCAACTCTTACAGGAAATGCATACCGAGTGAAAGTGAGAATTTACAGGTCACCCACACAGGCAAAATCGGATTTTTTGCTGCTACGTTCACTTCAGCACTGTGCACGTTCAATGTGAGAGAAAAACGAGGAGCTGAGGCTATTCAATGCAACATTACTTTTCAGGTGCAAGACTTTCCATTCGATGAGCAGAAATGTGCAGTCAGCATGATGTCGCAGTCATTCATGCCACAAGAATATGGTTATAAAACCGAACTGGCTCCAGGACTTCTGACCGATCTGCATTCGCTGGTTCTGTTTTGATTCCTTTCAAATTTATTCAGTAATTAAAACAAAAAAAATCATGTTTAGGGTAGTGGCGAATGGAAGGTGACGAATATTTCCGTCTCTTCGCAGTTCTTCGATACCGGTAGTGAAAGACACGGATTATGAAGTTGTAAGCTCATTCCATGCTTATTCCATTCCCTAACTATGAAGCCAAGACTGCAACGCCTCCCATCAAAAAATGTCATAAATGTCATAAATCAGCGCTCTTGGCTTAGTGGAAGCCTCATTGCTTTAGGTGCAGGAGTTTCAGTCTTGCGAGCCAGCTCATGTATAATACTTGTCTCAAAATGATCATGACAGGACTTAGCGTTCGCATAGCATCCTCTGAATAAAGAGGTTCAAGCATCGCGCCACCTCAAAGTCACTCATCACGCTTAATCCCTAGGACGAGTAGGATTGG